AAAGGAAGGAGGAAAGTTGATAAAGATGCTAAACTTCAAGTTTTAGGGTTTGTAGAGGTAAAGGAAAAGGACAACTAAAAGAGAGAGAAAGTGAAGGAGGAAGAGGAGATTTTTTTTTTTTTTCCTGACGTGGGTGAAGAAAAGAAAGATATTATTATTTTTAAATTACATAAAAACACCAACTCATAAAAGAAAAGGATGGTCAATTATGTTTTTCTTTTTCATATCATTAGTTAAGAAAAAAAAAATTTACTAGTAAGTTAACGTGTAACTTGTTCATTTAACTAATGAAAGGATTATTTTGATCTAAAAATAAAAGTTTAAAAATAATTTTAATACTTTTTAAAGTTGAAAGATAATTTTGATATCAAAATGAAAAATTGAGGGACCAAAATGATATTTAAACCTTATAAATAAAAGTGTTACAAAAAAATTATCCAAATTTTATTATCCAAAAGGTAAAATGTTTTTAAACAAAGAGGTGTAATGTTAAGAAAATTATTTTATCATTTTTGTGGTAAAAGTAAAAGGTTCTTTTTTTTTTTTTGGGAAAAAAAGTTTCATTTTATTACATTATTGTAGTACAATCATATTCTTCATATTTTGTCTTCTGAATCATCTTCTTAGGATTTCTAGGTTTCCCGTGGTGAAATTGTTAAGCTTCTAGTGAGATTTTACTACTTATTTTAGGGCTAGTTAGAGTCTGGATTATGAGGATAATAGCATGGAATTACAAGAGAGTTGAGGATGAGAACTATTTATGCTCTTTTGATTTTGGTGAAGAAGTATCAACGAATGTCCTCTTACTTTTGGAGATGAAGAGACAAATGATTGACATGAATTGCATAAAAGATGCAGTTAGGGTTTGATGAATGCATGACAAAGGACTATAGTGAACAAGGTGGGGGACACAGATATCATTATTGAGCTATCTTCAATAAATCAGTTTTTGGCAATGATGCAAGGAGGGGCAAATAAGTGGAGGAGTTTTGCGGTTTTTTATGGGAATCTAGAAATGAGTAAAAGGCTAGAAACATAGAATTGTTAGTCTCTTTAGGCAGACAAGTTAGGAAGGAGTGGCTTTGTGTGGGAGATTTTAATGAAATTTTGAGAATATAAGAGAAATTTAGGGGAGCTGTTCATCCTTGAAGATAGATTGACTTATTTAGGGTGGTAGTCACTACTAAAATGCTTAGCTTCAGCAACATGGAAACATGTTGCTGAAAGTGGTTCCCATGTTGCTGAAAGCTCTTCAGCAACATGGATTTGCTTGCTGAAAGCCTTGTTGGAGAAGGCTTGGTGGGTAATACATTACCAACCAAACTCTTGTTGCTGATACATCAGCAACATGATCTATGTTGCTGAAAATATAGTATCAGCAACCTACCTCATGTTGCTGAAAGAGCTGGCCGGAATCCGGTGGAAGTTGGGGGTGAAATGTCTCACCCCCTTCAGCAACATAGGCCACGTTGCTGAAGATAGAGTTTCAGCAACGTGGCTCATGTTGGTAAAAATTTCAAAAAATCTATCCTCATTCCGGCACCGGAATTTTGTGACATTTTCAGCAACAAAAGCCACGTTGCTAAAACCCTATCTTCAGCAACGTGGCTTATGTTGGTAAAAGTAGAGGGGGATAGTGGTTTTCCCTTTTTTCAGCAACATAATCCTTGTTG